CTTCCAGCTGCACGGCAGCACTGTACTGAAGCCATATCCTTCCTGGGTTCCTCCCCTCCAATGACTGTGCAGGGGCAGTAGAAGGAGGTCATTCCTAGCCAGTTTGAATATCCTCCTCTCAAAGGAAATCTTTACTCTGGAGTTCCAGGCTGGCCTAGCCAAGACCTTCTGAGAGTTTTACTGTAGTCTGAAGACTTTTTACCACATCTTCCTTCCATCTCTCCCTCCACAGTTGTCAGATGCATATCACAGTCTGAGACTCTCCCCACTGACTCCTTTCCCCTACCCACTTGTCCTTCATTCGTTTTTCTCACAATAAATCTCTGGGCCTCTTAATTCTGTCTTGGAATCTGCTTTCTGGAGAACTCAAACTGATAAAATGAGTTTGGATAACTCAGTTAATATTTTTCTTAATCTTAAAAGGAAGAAGTAGGGCCAGGGTTGTGGCCAGTGGTAGAGCACTTACCTACCACATGTGCATTAGGTTCAATCCCTAGCACCACATAAATAAACAAATAAAATATTGTGTCCATCTACAACTAAAAAAACATTTTTTAAAAAAGGAAGAGGTAAGTTGAGTAGGTAAATAGGTAGGGTTAGGTCATTATGCTAATGACCAAATTAAAATTTCTATAGTTTACTTAAAAGCAAAATGGGAAGAATAATTAGAAAATACTGATTATTCTTTTCATATTTGAAAAGACAAGTTTCTTATTTGTTAGCCTAATAAAATATATGCTTAGTTATGCAGTCTTTATTGTTCATAAATTAAGGAAATCACAAGATAAAACTAATTGTTATTTTCCAAAGGAAATCGCTCATATTGAGCCTGAAAGTAAAATTTAAACAAAAAGGTAAGCTGTAAACATGTTAACTGTTCTTGTTCTAGATTACAAAAACAGCTTGTACTTGACTACGACTTTACAAAACCACGATATGATATAAATGTTCTATGTATAACTTTAAGGGATATTAACTAATTTTTATTTTGTTTCTCTGTTACCTACAATCAGATAAACTCTTATCCTGGTCATACAATTTTTCTGCTGCTCTCAAGCGAGTCACCAAAGAAAGAGTATTAGGGTGAGGTTAATTTTGTGTTTACTAGACAGCAACCAGAACATTACGAATGCTCAATTAATGTTTAGACTATATTAGTGCATTTTTTAGCAAATTTATGGTATTGAAAGAGCATAATGTACCCTATTCAGAAGCAGTTCTTTTTTACTAAGAGAAAAATTGTTGGCAACTGCTCTGTTTCCATGGATTTATCATTCTAATAGATCCTGAAAATAAAACCCAATCTTTGCCAAAAACTTATTTATGCTTTATATCAACAACATGCCCTTTATCTGTGCTTATACATTTGGGAATAGAAAAACAACCTCAATTAGTTAAAAATACACTAATTAGAACTGATTGTGGGGAGGGGAATATGTGGGAGCTGACACTAACATATTTTGTTTTTACAAAAAATAGAAAATTGCACAAAATTCTAAGGAATTGAAAAAAAGAAGCAAACATCTTCCAGAATATATTTGGAAGCATATATTTCAAATTTTCAATATCTAATAGTATTTCATCAATAGGAAACTATAAGCAACAAGAAAGATACAATTATGTTTGAGACATTATACTTACACAAACAAGTGTATTACACATTTAATTCTTAATTTTAGTGACTGCAATAAAAAGAGGGGTTGTGAGGTTGCAATATTTAATTCCCAAGTTAGTTATAAAATCAAATCAACAACTTTAACCCCATTTTTTAAACAAGTAGCTCTTAATTTTGGCTGCATATTAGCAAGACATGGGGAACTTACCAAATTCTCAATACCAATACCAATATTTTTACAATCGTAAAAATAATGAGAATTACTAATATCTTTATAAAAAGCATCTACAGGTGATTTGAGATGCTGTCAAGATTGAGATCCATCACCTTGGATATTACAGTTATTTTAACTTTTAAACCATGTTTGCTTAAGTTACACATTAAATCTCTGCTGCTGTATGGAAGAATATTTACCAAATGACCTTTAATTTTATCAGAGTACTCTAAAAAGAATGTAATCCAAATTCTTGGTTAATATTATGTCTGATGGTCTTTTTATCTTGGAAGTGGCCAGGTAAGACAGTTATAGGCACTGAAATAGAAGGAGATCGCTGCTGGGTCTTTTCCTTCTGGAGTGAGGACAGAGCCATATTGGAGGACAAAAAGTAGATTTCATCCCTTTTCTCATTCGCTAGCCCCAATCTCTGATATAAATCCTGAAACTCAGGAGCACATCTGGCAGTCAGAAACCAACAGATGAGATAATGAAAAGTCAACATGTTGAGGATGGTAGCTGAAGATAGAAACTGCAAGATCTTGGGACTTTGATAACATTATTGAGTCACTGAATTAGATCAGCTACCTTCAGAATTTTTGTTGTGTGAAGAAAGTAATTGCTCTAGCCACTATTAGCTGAACTTTCTATCACTTGTAGTCAAAAGCATTTCTAGTGGATATATCTTGATTCTCTCTACCATGAATTATTCAACATTTACTATTGACTAAGAATCTCATGTATATTATCACTTTGGGGCCATACAACAACCCAAAATATAAGCATTATTACATCCATTTTTATATATGCAAAAACTGAGGCCCATACAAGTCAACTCTATTTTCTGTTACCACACAAATTTAGAATTGTAAGTCAGATCCACTTGCCAATGCTCTTAATTGCATAGCACTAGTACTGTCACTAATTTCTTGGATGTGTATAAATCTAATTACTCTAAATCTAACTGTATTCCACATGCAAGAAGAGCATCTTATGCTTCTAGGAATCCACGTAGTGGTCTACATTTAGATCAGTAGATATTTGAATAATTGGTGGGCCTACTGGATTAAAATCAAAATTACAGGATACATCTTCTTTGTGCTTTTCTGTAACACTGCAAGACACTTTCTGCTTGCTCCAAACAAACAAATTAACAACAACCTTACCCAAACCAAATTTTTGACAGCACAGAAGACTTGGTAAGAATGTTATTAATAACAACCTAGGGCTTTGGGTATATAACTTTTTCTTTTCCCTGGTGAAAGGCAAATAAAAAGTATGTTTTTGGTGTATTATTTTTAAGGGAGCCACTTGGGTGTGTCTACGAGGCTAAGGGTAGTACTTTCTGTAGAGTAGAAGACACAAATGTACCCCCTTCCCAGGATAATGATGTAGGGTGTATTTTGATTTTTAAATTTTTAAATTTGTTTTAATTAGTTATACATGACAGTACAATGCATTTATGCACTTTGATATGTCATACATAGATGGGATATGATTTCTTATTTTTCTCAGTGTACATGTTGTAGACCAGAATTTGCTTATCAGAAGTTTCAAGGTATTTAATATCCCACACTATTACATTATTTACCCACAGGTACTGCTGGTGGATCTCCTGTAATTTTGTTCCATATTCTCTTCTCTTGAGCACTTACCAAAGAATTAATGGATTAGAAAACACAATCAAGAGGCAGCCATGTTCAGTTTAGTCAGGCTCACAGGATCAATGCTAGTGTTTCCCCTTTTCTCATGAGAAAAGACCTACTTCAAAAATTTTTTGATGAGACTTAAAGTGAAATATAAAGATACTTGTAACAAAGCAGACAATAAGTACTTATTAAATATCTATTGCTAAGGAGTGGGATAGGTGCCTGGGAAGGAAGCATGACACCTGTCCTTGAAAGCAATCTTGGGGACTGCTTTTATTCAATCTCAAGCTGAATGAAAGGCAAGAAACAATGAATTGGAAGATAGCAAAATCTTGAGCTCTGTACACCTGGGATCAAGTTCCAATGCTTCAATTTTCCAGAATTGAAGCATTGGAACTTGTAGTGAGTTGCATGGTCTCCAAAAGATAGGTCCATGTTTTAATCATAAGAACCTGTAAAAGTGGCCTTATTTGGAAAAAAAATTTATCTTTATATTAAATACTTTATATTTATAGTTATTTTTATTTGTATATGAAATTAAGGACTGTGAGTTCATTCTGGATTATTCTGGTAGGCCCTAAATCCAATGAAAGTGTTCTTGCAATAGAAAGAGAAGGCACATATACAGAAGAGCGGGCCATTTGAAGACAGAGGGAGATGGAGTCATACCACTACAAGCCAAGGAAACACCAGAAGCTGAAAGAAAGGATTCACCCCTAATCCTTTCAAAGGTACCTGGCCTCAACAGCTTGATTTCAGAATCCTAGCCTTCAGAATGTTAAGAGAATAAAGTTCTGTTAATTGATACGAATAAGTTCGTTATGTCCATTTCTTCGTCTGTAAAATAGGTGTAATATTCTGTTTTTTGAAGTAGAAAAGGGATATGCAGGATTCAGACCCGAGAATATTTTTTAAATGGCAAGCATTTATAGAGAGCTTTTCAAGTTCATTCACTGTCTTAAGCGTCCTGCACGTGTGACGCATTTCTATTTTACTGATTAGGAAACCAAGCAAAAAAATTAATAATTCGCCCAGAGCCACACAGCTAGAGAACGGGGAAAAAAGGGGGGGGGGATTACAATTCAAAGCCAACTCCTAAAATAGATTTTTTTTTTATACTCCGCGCTGAACTACTCAAAAAAGATTAAATCAACACACTCTAAAGATTAGATATTTTAAGATTAGTTCAGACTACAGCATGAACCGCCTGTTCTCAACAGTGTCAGATCGCGTCTTCAACAACCTGTCAGCCCTCGCGAGAATCCCGTTTCTTCCCGGGTTACGGACGCGACGGGGTTAATAACGTCACTTTCGGGCTCCACTGACGCGCCCTCCGCCCGACGGATCCTTTCAAGGGCCAAAATCCGTGTGTGTGTGGCGCAGCCCTAGCTCCCGGAGATGAGCTGTAACGAAGATGGACCAATAAAGAGTCGGAATTTTCGTGTTTCTCGCTAAGCTCCACCCCTTAACCCCAGCGCCCAAAGCGGAAGAATACAAAAAGCGGGCCAGGGGGTGGGGCAAGCCGAGGAACCGGAAACGACGGTCGGGAATTGACTAGGAGAGCTGCTTCAGCTCCACGTGCACGGTGAGTGTTGCCGACTCCCGAGTTCTTTTTAGGGGTAGGGGTTCACTTGCTCCGCGCTGGAGTCGGGAGGGTGTCCCTGGACACCTAGCGAGGGCACAGGTTGGTGACCTCTTGCCCGCTGAGCAGTTTTCTGTGACCCTTTTGTAGGCTGGGAGTTTGGGCATTGAAGAACTTGGAGAGGAGGGCAGGTCTACGAGCTGTCTTCCCACCACGTTACCCTGAGTGCTGATTTAGACTGAAGTAGTTTTAATTTAAAGTCATGGCCTGTGATATTTCCCGTCAGCCTTCTGTACCATGTTTGACAGACATCCATTCTGCATTCGATTAGTGCTGGGTGTGCTGAGGTTACAACCTGAATGTACCGTGGCCGGTTGTAGGCGCTGAGGGATAAGGGAATCTCAAGAAGTTATCCTTAATCCGAGAACTAAAGCAGGACGGGAGACAGCCCTTAGATCTTAGAGTACTTTAAAGTTAGAGGAAGGGTGCATGAGTTTTTGCAAAGCTTTTGTTTCTATACTGTTTGTATCCTTGTGTGAATAAAACATTGAAAGCTTTAAAAAAGCGGGGGAAACATGACAAGCCTTGGTTTTCGTTAGAAAATGTATTTAATTTGGAAGTTCGTTAAGGACATTTTTGATGTTCTGCATTTAAGAGTAGTGGTAGCAGAGAGAAATCAGGAGTTAAAGGTATTTTAACGGGGGAATTTAAGAGAACTTACTAATGGATTGTGAGTCCTCAGCATTGAAATCAAGGAGGTTGGATGAAATCATCTGGGGTCAAGTGTGAAGATAGTGGGGTTCATGAGGACAAAAGACTTGAGGAATGCCAGTATGTAGAGTTTGGATATTAGATGTTTACCACTTTCAAAATACATTGCTGGGCCTGCTGAGGGCAGTGAAGAAAAGTAGGTCAGATATCCCTCTACCTCCTGGAAATCTCTGATACTTGGCTAAGGCAGAGGGCTCTCAGCCACTGGCTCCCTTAACACTTTGTATATAATTATATTGCAGCACTTTTAAATACATTGTGTGTTAGTTTTTTGCTTTTTGTCCATTAGATCACACTGTGGTCCCCCTGTCCCAGTATTTTTTTCAGCCCAACAGCTTTTTAGCAGTGGTTTGTAGGTATTCAGTAAGTTTCTGTAGAGGAAAAGTAGACCATCCATGAATAAATTTAAAGTGTTAAATTTTGAAAAGACCATAAAATGTATATCCATAGAATAAAAAGGAAAATGATAAAGGAAAGAGGGGAAACCATATGAAGAATGTATAAGTAAATGTCATTTAAGCTGGATTTGTAGGATAGGTAGGGGATTCTGTTCATAGAAAAAATTCCATTTAAGTTCAGATCCTGAAAAAGAATTGGGTATAAGTTTGGTTCTTGTGTAGTATTTGGGGTGAATTAGAACCAAATTTTGAGTAGTTATGAATGCCAGTTTGAGACTTTTTTTCCTTGTAAGCAGTGGGAAATTTTCAAGCTATGCAAGTATTGAAATGTTATGAAATCAGTGTATTAGTGGAAGATTAATCAAGAAGCAGAGAGTGAATGCGGCAGATTGGATATAAGGGCAAAACAATATAAGCAAGAGAGAACAAAAGTCTAAATGGGATAATAGAGGGAAAGAGGAAAAGGCGCAATTATGAGAGACACTGGAATGTGATTGGTTATAAAGTACAACACTCTCAAATGTATTTTGCTAAATGAAAAAAGCAAGACCCAAAAGGTTACATATTATTTGATTTCATTTGTATGACATTTTAGAAGAGACAACAGATAAGGACCAATTAGTAGCAGCCAAGGAAGGGGGCAGGTGTTGATTACAGAGTGGCTGTACAGGGCACTTTCATAGAGTGATGAAACTGTTCTGTATGGTACTGTGATGCATGGCTCTATCCATTTGTTAAAACCCCCAGAAATGTACACTAAAAAAGTGAACTTGAGGGCTGGTGTTGTAGCTCAGTGGTAGGGCGCTTACCTTCCATGCTTGAGGCCCTGGGTTTAGTTCCCAGCACCACATAAAAATAAACAAATAAAAATAAAGATATTGTGTCAATCTACAACTAAAAAAAAAAAAAAAAGTGAACTTGACTATCTGGAGGGTTAACAAATCAACTGGTATTTCTTGGGTGGAATGCAGATAATGAGAAATGAATTTTATTATAAACCTATAATGTCACTGAAGACGGAGGGTGATTTAAAGACTTTAGAAAACAGTATTTATGAGGAAAAGACAAGAACTATACATCAACAGTGCAATAATTAGTATATTACTTTTTTTAATTCATGGGATACAATTTAGCAATATTAAACCTACTTTACATTTATATTAGGGTTGAACAAATTTATAAATAAATTATAGATCCCGGGAAGCTGACTTCTTAGAGGAAGAAGTTAAAATTTAACAAAGGGGTGTACCAGAATAAAACTTCTGGTATTTGACCAGAGTTGGAAACATTAGTATGAACTTTACATTATTTTAACAAATATAGAAATATAGGTATATATGAATACATGAGTTAATAAATGCATATCTATTATCCAGCTTTGTATGCTGAGCTGAAAAGACCTAGAAGAAATGACCCCAGCAACGGCAAACACTTGGCAGTTAGTTCTTGGTTTTTAAATACCATTCATAATAAAAGGAACCAGAATTCAATGGAGAAATGGCTACTTTCAAGAAGGATAAAGAAAATATGAGTCTATAGCAAGTGCCAGGAAATAAAGACAGGCTTAAAAAGAAAAGGAAAGACAGACCGTATTAGAAGGATAGAAGCAACCTGTAATACTTCCCATTGGCCAAAGCTGCAGCTATTTTTGAGCAATAAAATAATGTTGATATTGGGTTATACCTAAGGAATAGAATAAATATCTGAGACCATATTGATACGAATAAATAAGTAGCCGGGCGTGGTGGTACATGCATGTATAATCCCAGCAGCTTGGGAGGCTGAGACAGGAGGATGGCAAATTCAGTCAGCCTCAGCAAGGTGAGTTGCTAAGCAACTCAGTGAGACTCTGTCTCTAAATAAAATACAAAATAGGGCTGGGGATGTGGTTCAGTGGTCAAGTGCCCCTGCGTACCAATAAATAAATAGATGAAAAAGATAGGACAGATCTTCTCTTTAGGAGAATTTGAATTAATGAGGAAAACTAAAATTAGTGGACAAAATTTTAAGAAGACACAGACATTTGTATAGTGTCAAATATCTTGCCCAAAATATTAATTGCTGTAGTAGTTTAACATATGTCTATAAATTCTTTGCTATTCCTCTCTCGGAACTGGAGCTTAATTTCCTTCTCTTTAATTTCCTAGATGTAATGGCTTATAATAGAGTAAAGAAAGTGAAAGATAGTAACTTAACCTTAAAGAAACTTGGCAAACACTACTTGACAAAGTGGTCAAGGTTAACATGATCACTAATAAGTCATATTGATGTCTTGTACCTCTTGTTATGGTACTATGAAGAGAGTCCTTCTTTGTGAGGCTGAGGAAGGAGGACCACTAGGTTTAAGTCCAGGTTTAGACTGTTTCAAAAAAAGGGTTGAGGAAGAATCTTAGTGGTAGAACATTTATTTGCTTTGGTTCAATCCCCAATACTGGAGGTTGGGAGGGGATCAGTAAACTCGGCCTAATCATTAGAAAGCATCAGTCAAACCCAAATGAGGCATATTTTACAAAATACTAAAGGAGACATTATGGCTAAATTTAGTGTATCCTGGAACAGGATATTACAGAAAAATGGTGGAATACATAATTAGTACTGTTTAGCTTAATTAGTAGTGTTAATGTTAATTTCTTAGTTTTGATAAATCATCACAGTAAAAAAATGTTAATTTAAGGTAAGCTGGACAAATGATAAGTGGGAACTCTTTTCAACTCTGTAAAACTAAAATTATTTAAAAATACAAATTAAAACAATACACAGGGAAAATGTGTAATGAATTTTTGGAAAACCACATGCACTTAAGAGCTAAGAAATGCTGGTATGGGTATGATGGTGATAGCCAAGTGATAGTGACCCTGCTGTCCTACATGCCCTGAGGAAGCTCTGTAAGTCAGGAGCCATCCGTGTTTTTAGAATCTTATTTGTAAAATTTAGATTAGAACAGCATCTTCTACTCTTCTCTCGGAACTAGAGCATTCCCTGGAAACTTACTGTTCTCTTAAGATGGCTCCAAGAAAAAGTGGTTCAACTAGGTTTGGAAAATGCTACATACTTTAGCTTTTACATGAACATGGATAGTATGTTACCAAATTAAAGAATCTGAAAAGCCTTTTCTTACAGACTTAATGTTTCTCAAATATATTTCAATCCAGAATGGGTTTTTCTTACACTATCAGTATCTTGAGAAATTAGTTCTTGATATTTGCAGGAACCTTGTCCTGTGCACTGTGAGATTTCCTTCACATGTTATCTGTTGGACATATTTTTTTAAATGAAACATTAATAAATATTTTAACATAATCTTATTTTGGAGTTCACTGTAAGTTACTTAGGTGCCTCTAAGACAATCTCAAACATTGGTCAGTAACCTTTATTTTAACTACATTAGGAACATAGAGATCTTTCAGAGAATCATTTATTTTCTTTAATTATATTTGGATATGTGAAAAATACAGCCTGTTGTTTTTTCCTAAAGGGTAGAGACTAAGAAATCAAATGGTAATATTGCCAATAATTCATCACAAGTCTTCTCAGGTTATAAAATGCAGGTTATATTTAATGTTCTGTTTTTAACCAGTGCTGTTGCTAACTGTTGCTTGCAGATACATAAACAATAGCTAGGGTGTGTATTTTTAGTCTTTATGTTGGTATCTTGTTGGTTGGTTGGTTAGTTGGTTGGTTTTGGTACTGGATACAGGGTCTTAAGTTGCTCGGGGTCTTGTTAAATTGCACAGGCTGACCTTAAACTTGTAATTATCTTGCTTCAGCTTCCAGAGTCATTGGGATTATAGGCATGCACCACTACTCCTGGCCTTTTGGTTATTTTTAAAGTCTTGGAAACAGTGATGGGTAATTGCTAGACTTGTGTGGGTACCTGTGTTTTATCTGGGTGATATTTATACTACATCTGAACTCAAGGACTAAATATGGCTATTACTACTTAAATGACTTTTATTTGATTATAAGCAATTCAGTGATTCATTCTGGTTTTTGTCTTCCAGAGTCGCTATGATGGAAGTCAAAAGGGAAAAAAAATTCACAGGAAAGGGTACAAAGGCATTGCAAGGAAAAAACAGATTTCATAAAACCAGAGGTAAGATAGCTGTACCAAAACATCCTTCTCATGTGGTTGTTTTGACCATTATAATTGAGGGGATGGAAGGATATGTAGCAGATTCCAATCTGCATTCATATACTAGAATTAGGATTGAAATAGGAAGAAATGGGTGTTATTGTTTATGAGTTAGAATGTTTCTCATGAAATTTAGAAATTATAAAATTGCAAGAATAATTGAGGAGTGCTTTACTCTTGAAAGACCCCTTCTCTCAGCTATTGTTGCTGTTGCTTCATTTTATGCACACTCGTTCACTATATATTTTATTTTAATGTTTGGTAAATTGAGGTTGGTTAATATGTACTGTTGACTAACCAAATACTTGAAGCTTCAGAATTGTGAATTGTGATGTCTTTCTTATTCCATCAGGTGTCAGTATTGGGAAATAGAAAAGTTAAGGGCTGTGAACTTAATGTTTGCTGAGAAGTCTTTTATTTCCTTGTAATAGTCTTAAGGCGTAGCTGTTGCTATTTGCATTTCACTTGATTGGTACTTAATTTGCAGGCTTTGTTGATTCCATGTTTGTATCGAATGATTTTATTATAGGTTTTAAGATTATTTTCCTCAGTGGAAACGAGAAATTGACATTTTAAATTTTTTATTTATATGCTCTCTAAATTTCAAGCATGTTAATTTTATTCTTAGACACCTGTTATGTTATTGTACTATTGAAAATTATCTATAAAGATGAACACTAAGAAATATAACAAACCAACAGCAGTGGTTACCTCTCGGTAGTAGAAGTATAGATGGTTCTGATTGTACATTTCTCTACTTCCTAGGTTTTTATAATCAGAGAATGAAGTTTTCACATTTTGGTTTGATTATTTAAATCCTACTCTATTCAGAAGAGTAAATTTATATAAATGTATACTTGTGAGTAGGACAATTATGTTCCACTAGAGAGCATATAATTCTTTGTAGCAGATATAATACAGTAGATAAAAGAAATCTTGTCCCAGAATAATTAAGGTAATAATTATTTGTTGTCACCACTAGATTCTAGTTCTTCAAAGGCATTCCCCCAAAAAGGTAAGGATAGTGGACCTAAAATCACATCTAAGAACTTTGAGAAAAGTGCTACAAAACCTGGGAAAAAGGGTGTGAAACAATTCAAGAATAAACAACAAGGGGACAAAGGACCGAAGAACAAATTTCAGCAGGCAAATAAATTCAACAAAAAGAGAAAATTCCAGCCAGACAATAAAAGTGATGGTAAGCACCATTTCTTCTAGCAGTCCTTTTTATTTATTTTTATTTTATTTTATTTTTTGGTGCTGGGCATTTAACCCAGGGATGCTTTACCACTGAGCTGCATCCTAGCCCTTTGAGTTTTATTTTGAGACAGGTTCTCACTAAGTTGCTGAGGGCCCTCTAGGTTATTGAGACTTGCTCAAACTTGTGATCCTCCAGTCTCTTCCTCCCAAGTCGCTGGGATTGTAGGCATGCATCACCACACCCAGCATCTAGCACAATCTTTGCAGAGCCTTTCCTTGCCAGAGGTAGCATCTGGACCATTGTGCACAGGGACTCTGGACAAGTTCTAGAGACCTTACTTCTTGCTCCTTAAGTGGAACCTTAAATAAAACATTCCTTTCTGTAGGCCAAAATTATTTTTTAAATTCATTTATTCATTCAACAAATATTTGAGTTTTCGATCTTTGTGCTAGGAGGTGGGGCAGAATGATCACCATCATCAGTAAAGATTCCCAACTAATCAAAAAAATTAGTCTTTAAGAACCAGTTGTGTCCTAGCTACGTGTCATCCTTGGCAAAAAGGCCTTGGTGAACAAGGGATTTATAGACTGCCCTTACAGAGCTTAGCCCAGTCTAATACAGTCAACCCATTAGATGGCCCAAGTCTAGTCGCAACTTCAGAGAGGGTGTAGTGCACACATGACATGATTTTAATTGGTTTAGGACGAGATGTTCATTGTAGAAGTGTTGACAGGGCTTCTGTTTGTCATTAAAACAGACTACTAGTTTTTTTCCTCACTATTTTCAAGGGATCATTTCTGACCCAGGGCTTTGCTCTTTGTTGTACAACATGCCCATATTGTGCATTGTCCTGTGCTGGTTACATGTACAGACACATGTATACCTTCTTTGCACCTTTATGAGAATTTCTCTGGTGCATTTGAGTCTTTTTTCTCTAACACAAAATATATTCTAATATTGCTTATTTTCTGTGAGCTGAGATTACTGCCTTTTCAGGTCAGTTCTCTATCTTTGGACTTTGCTATTTATTCCCAAGGGCTGCTCATTAGAGAGACAGTTGTCTTAAGATAGGAAGGTGAGAAAGAAGAAGTGGAAGGAAATTTCATTGTTTCTCATCAGGCCTGCAGGTTCCTTTCCCACTCCAGCCTCTTTCTTTTCTATTTACCTTTCTTTGCATCTCCTCTACTCCCCGTAGTTCCTGTTCCATCTTCTTTTTCCTTTTTCCTTCTCTCTCCTAGCCTGGGTAGTAAGTCTGAAATCTTCCTCTCCTTAATAAAGTTCTTGATACCTTCATTTGAAATATATATACATTCATTTTTATGATTAAGATCTTGCTGTGCTATGGCCCTGTTTGAGAGACATATTCTTAATGTCTTAAAATGAAGTTCTTGATTTTATTTTCTCATATTTTTATATGAATAATAGAGATATGGGGTACTAGACATTTTCAGAATTTGTATATCTGTTGAAAACCCAGCATGGCATGTCAAGAGTACCCAAATGTTTGTGAAATTAAATTAGTAATTATCAGTAATTATCCTACTGTGTAGTACATGATGCCTTACTGTTAATTGTAAATATGCTTTCCATTGCCACTAATCTTCCATTACCAGACAGGGAATAAACAAATAGTAAAGGAAGTAATTAAATACATTGTAGTAAATTGTATATAGTCATTAAAAGTTAGGTTTTTGATGAATATTTAGTTTCATTGGAAAATGCTGAGAGTATAATGTTAAAACAGAAAGATTCTGAATTTTTAAAGATTTATTTAAATCATACATGGGAAAGGGGCAAGAAAGAATAAGCTGTTGTTTTACCTAGATTTTTAGCATTGCTGGGGATTTTTTTTTTTTATTTCCCAGATTTTTGTAATGAGTATATCAGAGAAAGGTATTTATAATAACTAATTTCCAAAGTCTTACCTGTAGGATTTTCATGTAAATGATACCCATTTTGTTAAGATTTTTTTTGTTTAGCCTTATTGAATTTTTGGTTCAATTGATAAGATACTCAAATTTTGAAGACCAAAGAAAAATCATCATAGAAAGAAAATTAAATTCGACATTTATAGCATCATTCTGTGTGTAGAAAAAGAAATTTTGATTATGCATTGTAATAAGTAAAAGGCAGTGAAGAGTTGTCTCTGGATTTGAATACTGTCTCTACCACTATGGTTGAATGGCCTTGGACACATAACATAATTAACTTTCTAAACCCTTTGTTTCCCCAACACAGAAGAGTGGGTATGGGGATAATAATTGTACCCATCTGGCAGTAGTGTTTTAAGAATTATGTTGACTTAATAAGCATTTGTACTCAGAAGAGAGGTTGTTTGTTTGTATCGCTGGGGATTGAACACATAGCCTCACATACAGTAGGCAAGCACTCTACCACTAATCTACATCCCCAGCCCTTGAACAGTGAATTTTTTAGGTTTTTTCCTGTTTTATTTTGGACTAATTGTTTTTATTGAACTAATTTTGTTTCATGGAAACAATGTGTTCTCATTATAAAGTCCAATGAGATTAATGTTTTAAAGTAGAATTTTATTTTACAGTCAAAAAGATGTTAAAATTTACCAATTGTTTTTATAATCTTTTTAATATCCTTTTTTTTCTCTCACCAGGTACCCTATTAAGAATCAATAAAAAGCTATTAAATGATTGGTTTTAAAACATTTAAAATATACAAACTGCTCAAAAAATGCAGCAATAAATAAACAAATAAATATTTCCCCCCTTCTAGCTTCCATAATGAGTATCATCCTGATTAGTGATTGTCCTTTGTATCTAATTTGTATTTGTTTATGGTACTCAGAATGTTAAATGTAATTGGAAATAATTTCTATAACATCTAGAATCAGCAACTAAGAAACCTAAATGGGATGACTTCAAAAAGAAGAAGAAAGAACTGAAGCAGAGCAGGCAGCTCAGTGACAAAACCAACTATGATATTGTTGTTCGAGCAAAGCAGATTTGGGAGATCTTAAGAAGGTAATGTACCTAATAGCATCCTCATTAGTCCCTTTGAGACTATATGGAGAAGTAACAGCATGCCTTATAATTATAAATGTCCTAAAATAAATGATGTAACACTTATGTTATTTGGGAGTACTAGTAACATTCCAGTAGGAGGCATCAGTGTTTGGGTGTCTGCTTATGCAGAAGTGTGTGGAGTCATTAGGACAGTGTCAGATACGTTTATGGGAATATATGAGAGTCAAAATGGATTTGACATCTTTCCTTGGTTTTCTGAGAAATGAAGGATACTTTCTTATTGGCTAGGTTTTGAGATACTTAAGTATTTGGTATCATAGACTTATTTTATTATTTTCTTCCTTTCTAAAAGTTCTGGTTGTTAAGATTTAGATTGATCCATAAAATTATACCTTGTGAGATGAGTTTCTGCCTCTGAGAAAATTACTTTTGTCTGACTGCTCTGGAATGGTAATTTTAATGTCAGAGGTTTGCTGCCTTCAAATAGAAAATTATGTTAAACCTGATGAATGTATATTCGTATGGTGTTTAATTCTATATGTTTAAAATAAGTTCTTCATTTAACTGTGTGTTCTCCCTCTTCTCATTTATAGAAAAGATTGTGACAAAGAAAAAAGAGTAAAGTTGATGAGTGACTTGCAGAAGTTGATCCAAGGGAAAATTAAAACTGTAAGTAGTACGTACTCATGCATGCAATTTTAAGCCATCAGAGTTGTCTCACTCTTAGGGAAGGGCAGTTAACCATTCATTACAGGGGAACTTTTCATTGTTTCCAGTTTATTTGGCTAAAAATTTCAACTGTCTTTCATAACACTGGCTAAATAAGAATTAATACAGGTTGCATAGCTCTTATCTGAAATGCTTAGAACCAGAATAATTTTGGATTAATTTTTTTCATATTTTGGAATTTGCATATACATAAGAAGATATCTTGGTGATGGAATCCAAGTCTGAATACAGAATTCATTTATGTTTCATTAGACACTTTATATATACATAGCCCAAAGGTAATTTTATGTAATATTTTTAGTGAGGCTGAGTTAATTGCAACCCATTGTCACTTGGGGTCTAAGTAGTATTATATTGTTGCTCTTCAGTCCTGTTTTGTAATAAAGTTCCATTGATTCTTAGATTATAAGGCAATATATTTCAATAATTTGAGGGGAGACTGAAGGGATAGTCTTTGCCAACCCATATGCATAGGTCTAACATGCTATATTACAGCTTGAGGAAATGTTTTAAAATGTCTAGTCTTCAGCTGTTTCTTTCTTATTAATTCTGTAAGATCCATAGGATGGAATAGCCAGCCCCTCAGCTTTGTCTGTAGTCTTCTATCCTTAGTTTATAAATATTTTATACTCAGAATTCTTTGTCAAATACCCTTAAGTCATTGTAGCATGGTAATGTACTTGGGAGTTAGTCTGGTGCTCAAATTCCACCTCTGTTCATTGAACTATTTGTACCTTTGGACAGTAATAATAACCTATTTATCTATTATTTACTATGAGGAATTGTGCTAACGCATGCACACATTGTTTCATTTAACTTAGTCATTATTCCTTTTGTACATTTGATACATGTGGGTCTCAAAGTAGTTAGTTTTTTCCCCAAGGTCACAGGGGTGGGTAGCAAGTTCCTTAACTTCTTGTAACCTTACCTTTCTCATCTATAAAGTAGGAACAGCAGCTCATTCTTTAATTGCTTTGAGATCTAAATAAGAAAATATTATTAAAGCAATTGTATAGGTCAGATAGTAGATACTCAGTATATAGAGTAAGGTAAACAACTTTATTTTTAAAAACAAGGTTTATTGTAAACAACTTTATTTTTAAAAACAAGGTTTATTAGAGATGTCTAAAATCTACCTTAAAGAAATTTTAAAATCTCTTGTCTATGTTGGAGATGTATCTCCATTGTTTAATTTTTTGACATTAAAAATTTTGATAGACAAAGTAAACAACACTTTGAAAATAGATTGCTAATGTAGCATATTCAAAACAGTCTTGCGTGACTGGTGTTTTGTGGATGTTATTGTGGAAAATTGATCAATGAATTCTTTAATGGCAATCTAATGTAGCCAATACCTGTAAGAAGGAATGGTTTGGAGAATGTGAAAATAGGATTAATTTTATAATGTGATTGCCTATATGTAGCAATGTTTTTACATCTTTTTATTTAGCAACACTTTTATATTGATCTTATATATCTACTTTTGGTTCCCAAAGCCAAACATTCTTAGATCACTTATGTAAAAATCATAAAATAGTAGAGTTTTTATACCGGAATATCCCTCTTTTAGGGAAGGTAACTGTCAGAAAAACAAAAACTATAATCTATATAATCCTTAGATGATTTTTATTTGGTGTAGATTTAATTATAATGCTAGGCATATTGCAAAATGGGTTAATTTATCATTGCCTCAGTTTCATTATTAATTATACTTATCAAGTACAATAGGCAACAAAACCTCAAATGATGTTTTGCATAATTAAAATAAGTATTTTTACGCCCAAATAGTCAAAAATTTGATTTAATCTGTGAATATGCTACTTTTTTCTAACAAGGAATTTTGGTAGCAACAAAACAAATAATAAGAAAGAAATACAACTCTTCAGAGAGAATTAGTCTAAAGACTCCAACTGTTTTTCCTGCAGATTGCTTTTGCACATGATTCAACTCGTGTGATCCAGTGTTACATTCAGCATGGTAATGAAGAACAGAGAAAACAGGCCTTTGAAGAATTACGAGGTATTGGCTGTATATTGAAGTTATTTTTGTAAATAACTCACTTATTTTCTCTTGGAATATCTAAGACTCCTAGAAAATAATTCTGTGGAGGTACCCTCTATAGGATCATTGTTGTTTTTATTTGTTCTTTGCCTGAGACAAACAGTTGTAGTCATAGAATTGTGCATTTATTTAGCTTTTCCCCTTGTTTTTGGAAAACTGAAATGAGGATATCAAATCATTATAGGGTATTTTGTTTTTCAGGTGACTTGGTTGAATTAAGTAAAGCCAAATATTCCAGAAATATTGTTAAGAAATTTCTCATGTATGGGTAAGTTGTGTTATTTATAAAATACATTTTTTCTTATTTTTTACTGTGCTCAAGTGTTACTTATGAAGTCTGTGGTCATATTAATATCCCTCCACAAATGCCTTTGAAGTTTTACAGGTATACCACCTTAGAAACAGTTATTGAAATTAATGTGAGATTTTGGTATTGCTGTTCCTATTCTTAAGAGACTATTTTTGTGTCTTGAAGCTCCATTAGAAATGGAATAATTAACTTGTAATTAATCAGCAGTATTTAAAGGGTAGAGAGTTGGAGCAGCAAATGAGTAAACTCTTGAAATATGATAAGTGGGTTAGAAAATGTCAAGATAGGATTTCCTAAATTTAGGTGGAATTAGTGTTTGTCTTGGCCAATCATTTTGGGTGTAATAATGTCCCAGAATGTGGTAACCAATAAGAAAAAAGGTGTAACATGACAAATGTATTCCTGACTGATTCAAATGTATTCCTGACTGATTATCAGCAGCTTAATTGTATTAGGATAAGTCCTGTTTTAAAAGAGAATCCTAGAATATGTTTTATTCCTATCTTTCTGCATCTTTGACTTACTGTTTCTTTTTTCCCCTTACCCTACTTTTTTTCAAGTTCAACAATTTAATAGGAACTGACATTTATTGGGCACTTACAATGTGGTGCACACAGGGCTTGATGCTTCTTAGTTCATTTAATCCTTACAGCAGCATCATTTCACCTATATGAATGGAAAGGCTGAGGTTAAAGAATTTGTTCAGGGTCTTTTGAGCCAGGTGTCAGTCCTAGAAAGTCTGGTTACTCAATCACTTAAAAGCCTGAAGTTGAAATACAAGGCAATTAGATTTTCCTGTCATAAGCTTTTTATTTATTTTTAATGAGATCCCTCCCCCCCACACACACACATACATAGAGTGATTAGTCAGCCTCAGGAGAAGTAAATTATATTTTATTGTCATCTAGCTTTTTCCTTTTATCTCATATACACACACACACATATTATTTTTTCCCCCATGATTTTTAGGAGTAAACCGCAGATTGCTGAGATAATCAGAAGTTTTAAAGGCCATGTGAGAAAGATGCTGCGTCACGCAGAAGCATCTGCCATTGTGGAGTATGCATACAATGACAAAGCCATTTTGGAGCAGCGGAACATGCTGACCGAGGAACTCTATGGAAATACATTTCAGCTTTATAAGGTGATGTTTCCATAAGGCTTTTTCTTGTGTGTTTATTTGTTCTGTGTGTTGTCCTTAACTTCTAGTGCCTTGTTTTCAGAAGGCATTTTTACTTTGGATGCTCCTTTAATATACTGTCTCTTTTCTTGTAGATGATTTTGTCTCTAATATAGTGGACAAGTGATCACACTTAAATTTTTTTCTTCCAGATGTTATCTTTAAATCTCCTTCAAATGAAACTACTTTTGTTGCTCTATTCCTAATGCTCTGTGTGTAATGCTTAATTAAGTACTTTCATTTCTGAATCAGACTGAGGTCAAAGATTCTTAATAGTTAGCAAAGCTTTAGAACCACTCTCTATCCAGCTCTGGCTGAAGGGCATTGGACTCCCTGTTATTGCCTTCTCCCACCTTTCTTCATGATGTTGCATTACCCTTCTCCAGATGGTCTAGAGAAGGAGGGGAGTAGAGATAGTCCACTTTGGATAGAGTGCAGGGACTGAATCTAAGACTAGGACAGCTAGAAGGTCTGTTGTAAACCATGGGACATTAATGTATGTTTATCTGAGGGATATGGATTGATTACTGGTTTCCCTGCATTAGGCAATTATGTTCCTGAGTTGAACTTATTGTTGTTTTACTTTCGTAATACCTCACTTTAGGACTATGCAGCTGCTAAAAAACACAGGACAGCAAGATTTGTGATCTACTTGATCTTGTGATTAGACACGTTAGGTCTTAGCAAGTGTCTGTTGGCTGGTTGGCATGATTGATGGTTTAACGTGGCTCTTTGTATCTGTGGGTTCTGCATCCGAGTAATGAACCAGTCACAGAATGAAAATATTTTTTAAACGATGAATCTATACTAGATATACATAGATATTTTCCTTGTCATTATTCCCTAAACAGTTGTAACAACCATTCATACAGCATTTACATTTTACATTGTGTTAGGAATTATAAATAATCTGAAGATGATTTAAAGTATATAGGGATCCTCAAGGGTATTTATGTATTTTTATTTATATATATATATATATATATATATATATTTGTATATAAAATGTTACTACATATACATACGTGTGGGAGGGTTATAAACAAATACTATGCCATTTCATGAGATTTGAGCATCCTCAGTGTTTTGTGTCCACAGGGGTTTCTGGACCAATTCCTTATGGATACCAAAGATGACTAGACATTGGTAGTTGTACAGTCTCTGAATCAGATCAAGAATTATTCCATGAGTGTGTATACAGGAAAGCTTGAGTTATGCACATATGGAACACCTTACATTTACTTTAAATTTATTGAAAATAGCTATAATTGTTTTTTTTGTTTGAAATGAAGAAACTTATTAATTTCAGAGGGGTTTGACTTTTCTTTTGTTACAGTCAGCAGATCACCCAACTCTGGACAAAGTATTGGAGGTACAGCCAGAAAAATTAGAGCTTATTATGGATGAAATGAAACAGATTCTAACTCCAATGGCCCAAAAGTAAGAAAGATGTCTTGTATTTTCTTAATACATTTGAAAAAGATATTTGAAGGAGGAAAGTTTTATATAACCCTTGCCCCAAAAAAGGTGGGTATTTCCCCTTTACTGTTATTAATCTGTCCTAAATTCAAGTTTAAAACTTTTGTTTGGAGCCTGTCTTAGTATGAAAGGGCATCATTTTTTCGGATATTACATCCTGTAAAAGGATAACATAATAATGGTTTATAAATTTTGTTTAAGCAACAAAACATTTATTCTCAAAAAACTGTTTTATGGAATATTATATGTTATATTGAATAGTTTCACAAACGTAATGTTATTTAAATTGGATTTTAAGACTTAGAAGCCTACGACATGACCTTCTTAGAATTGGTAACATAGCACAATGGTTGGGAGTGTAACTTGACTGCATGAGTGACTCCTGCTGTCCCCTCCCCCACAAATACTAACTGTAACCTTAGACAGTTTAACCTCTCTGTGCGTATCCATATGGTCAAATTGGGATACTAATAGTATATATGTCATAAAATTTTATGAAGATTAAATGGGATAATATTTCCAAAGAACTCAAAACAGTTCTTTGCCCATAAAAGCAGACTAGTTTGTTATCTGTTTGGGTAAAGTATGTGAACTTACGTTTTTGGTGCCTGAACATCAACCTCCACTTTTACCTGAGTTCACCAAATGTCACACTATGGGGCATTGATAAAATATGGTTGTTGCTATTTCTCTCACTATTTGGTTCATTCAGGTTTCAGTTCTGCTAATATTTTGTGAAACTAATTTATTTTGAAGAGTGCTTTCAGAAAGAAAACAGCTTTAAAAAAAAAAAATAAAGGTCTAAATGTGGATTTCCAATCATGTTTCCAGAACTGAGGGAAATAGAGTTGTTATTTACAAAGGTAGAACAAATTTTGAACGATGATATAATCTTTGTTGATAAAACACTAGAAATTTGTACTTAGGTCAATATTATAATTTTTTTTTTTTTTAAATCTTAAACATACAATCAATTTCATATTTAGTAAAACCATCTTATTTAGATTATTTTAGTTTCAAGATTGCCTGTCTCTATTTGGCTTTTTGCCAGATCTGATGTTTTTTGTTTTTGTTTTCTGTTTTCAGAGAAGCTGTGATTAAGCACTCATTGGTTCATAAAGTATTCTTGGATTTTTTTACCTACGCACCCCCAAAACTCAGATCAGTAAGTTCTTGGGTTTTGTTTTTAAACCAAAGTGTAGAAAAAAAGTCATGTAGATAGTTTAACACATTGCTTTGATATACACACTCCTTTGGAAATTTTAGAGTTGCTTTCTTATTTAGAATAGATGATTCACTAAACTTCCCTTGAATAAGCCTGCTAATTTGTTTTACTTTTTGTCTAGAAAAATGATAGAACTGACCCTAGTTTTATTAATACGATTGAATTTTTATATTTTAATTATGAACCAGAGGATATCCTCCAATAAAGTAACTTGGGAGGAATATTTTGCATTTAGGTAGTTTTTAAACTCAACTGTGCCGGTACCAAAAAAAAAAAAAAAAACCTGCTGACATTAAAAGGTTAGTTTTAATGTAAAACTAAATGGCCCATGAAAACCTGGACCTTAAATGATAGAAGGAGAAAGAACAGAGAGTGAAGGTAAATTGCACTGCCCTTCAAGTTAGTGAAGGGAATACAAATGAGAGTTCATTTAGTTTCCTGAATTTTGCTTGCCTCATCATTCAGTGAGCTCATTGTCCATTTTGTCCTCATTTTCAGTCACACGGGATAACTAAAATAATGAATCTGGCTTCTTTTAACAAATATGCCAGATTACATATTCATAGGAATTTTGACCCTGTCAATTAGCACGCAAAATAATTTCTCAACAGTAGGTACTCTCCTAAGCTCATTGTGAAGTGACCATAGCAGCATCTTCTCTTTGGGGGATTTCTGTTTCCCACAGAACACAGTATCTCACACTTGTGTGTTTTCTGAGATAGGACTGAATGTTCTGTCTGGCAAAATGATCATTTGAATATATTCAGTGCTGGAAAGCATTTATCTTTTTAGTGTTGAGTGTGTTTTAGGAACAAAAAAAATTGGAACGGGATATAAAGAAATGAATAAAGGATCTTTTCTGGCACCGGGGGCAGTTTTCAAATGAGAGACTTAAAAATATATCATTGGGGATATTGGAAGCATAACTGGAATATATATATGACTTTCCAACTGGATAGGTATGATGGATGAAATCTGTGTTCTAGAGGTTTATCCCGGGAAAGGATTGTAAGATAGTACAGAGTGAAATTGCTTGTTCCTTATTGATGAAATTAGGCAACTACCTTTCCATTTCCTGGCTCGAGGCTTTGTATTTTGTTTAAAGTTGGAATAGGCTAAAATGAGGCCCTGCAGCTGTTAGCTGCCAGATCTCATTTACAACTTGTGCATAGACTTTGAAGATATGAATAAGAAGCTGTATACATTGAAAATGAATGCTAAAGATTAAATTAAGCTAAGCTACCTCATAAAAAAACTAAATGATTTTTCTACAAAAGTGTCGTTTATAGGTGAAGACCTAGCCTAAATTTTTATAATATAGAGATTAATTTTTCTTTGGGAAATGCTATTTGTTTATGATAAAGAATCAATATGATTTCTGGAGATAATCTAGTGATAAACTAAAAAAAAGGAAATGTCTTTGTTAGAATGAGTTTCGATTCTATTTATTACATACATGTCTCTTAGGGAAGAGCATTTTATTTATTTTCATTGTTCTGTTTGAAACTCCCTTATCGCTGCCACCTTCTAGACATTTTTTTCTTGGAAAATCATTTACAATATATTATGTTACCCATATTACCTGTAACATTTTTTTTTAAATAGACATTGGTAAAAGTCAGATATGTTGTTTAATAAAAATTGCTTGCCAGCAGTATTTGCTGCTTTGATAGAAAAGGATGTTTCTAGAATGAGGTTGTATTTTTGTCCGATTGTCTACAGAATTAAAAATTAAATTGTTTGCTACCTGTGCTCTCTTCCTTTTATTTTCTGTGCCTGACTGTTCTGTAGACAGATAAAACAGCAAAAAGAAGGAAAAATAAACCAATGCCCTGACAGCATTTGTTCCCTAGGAACTGATTGAAGCCATCCGCGAAGCAGTGGTATACTTGGCACACACACATGATGGTGCCCGAGTCGCCATGCACTGTCTGTGGCACGGCACACCCAAGGTAAGTGTTGTCAGTCAGGGCCATGTCTTACCTGCAGGCTGGACTTGCTTATTCATTGATTGTCAATCCCCTCTAGTCTTTCCCCAGTTATGCATAAGCATTTTATTATCAAGTTGTGTCTCAAGGCTTCACAGGTATTTATCATCTTTAGGCCTAGTATTTCTTCTCTGCTTTAGTAGAAACCTTGAGCTTTGTTGAAGATAAGAAAGAGTCTGTCAAGCAAGTAAACACAAGAAGTTTTGGTATCTGTTAGACTCTATTTCTCATTTAATGATCATATGTGATGGAGATAAGATAGTGAACAGTCACACTTGTGAGTGTTAAAACACTTTTACTGTGAGTGTTAAGTACTTTGAGAAAAAAGATAAAGATCCATATTACAGAATTTTAATGGAAATGACTTATTTATGCCTTCAAAAGAAATTGTATTATTCTATCTTTTCATTGAGATCTCTCAGGTCTTACTGTAAAAACTGGTTCATTAGGGTTGTGTTGCTTGCAGCTTACATGTTTTGGGTTCCCTCTTTATGTCTAAATGGACTGTCAACTATAAGTCTAAGATTTACTCTGAAAGGAATTATGTATGTTGCAATTTTTCATTCTGTTTGCATAATTATTATTTTCACTAAAGAAAAGTATTCCACTCAAATGAAATCTTAATATATAAAAAATTTTAACTATGAAATAGGTTTAATCTATTACTAAAGGTTCATTGAGGCAATGTTTCCTTTTTAAGGACAGGAAAGTGATTGTGAAAACAGTGAAGACTTATGTTGAAAAGGTGGCTAATGTAAGTACAATAAAAGTACATGTTTCTTTTAATTATTTTTAGTAGTAAAATGAATTTATGTCTTAAAGAAAAATTGAAAAATTAAAAAAATTTATCAAGAAAATTATTTTATTATAGTCTTTTTGTATGCATATTTTCAAATGATTATTTGTAAAAATTAGAATTCGAACCACATGTCTCTTTTCTCTCTCTCCTCTTTTTTTGTTTGTTTTGTTGTTGAAGTACAGGAGATTGAATAGAACCTTGAACATGCTTAGGCAGGGGCTCTTCACTGAACTGCATTCCCAGGTCCCTAAACCCCCAGCCCTCTTTTAAATTTAACATTGTATTGTGTCACTTCCCCATTTTTACTAGATATTTTTTTAAGACTTGATGTTTACTAGGTCTCATTAATGAATTTGTTGAATCATGTTAATAAAATGTGAAAATGATTGCCTTGATTAAGGTATCTATGTTTATATCTATCTCAAAGTAAATAATGTCAGTTGCCATTCAGAAACTTAGTATCAGTGTTTGTTACCACCCCCAAAATTAAAATCATCTCCTTTTTTTCTTAGAATAAATTTGCAGTGTAGCCATGGTGGTTTTGCTCCTTAGAATCCCCTGGAGATGTAGTGACAACCTTCTAATGAAATTAGTGGACACAAAATAATTGCCTCAAAACTAGTGTTTGCATATATTTAGATATTTTCTGCATTGTTATTATAGAATGACACTATAACTGGAATTATGTGATAGTAAATATAATTTTAATTTTTGAGTTATATATTTAATGACTTAATTCATCAGTAAAATCCTAATTAAGTGGTGAATCAAAAATATTTCATGACCAACTACTTTTTTCAATGAAAAATCCAGTGGGAACTATAATGTGTGCTGACTTCATAATATAGCAAATCCTAATTCAAACATAAAGGTAATGCTTGGTGATTGTGTACTTACCTATTGTCTTCTATAGGGTTGGAGATTAGAAAAGTTAAGTTTGAAACCATTCAGAAGGCATTCTATATGGTATTCGCTCTCTTGAGCTATTTCTGCAATATGAGAGTATTTTCTGATTCCTCAGTCATTATTAAGTAATTTAATCTTCACATATGACATTTTAATTTGCATACTTAAATTAGAATTGAGTAAAAATAGAATGAATAGAAAGTTCTAAACTGTATTAGTAGTAGTAAGAGATTTTTAAGTAATCAAGTTAATTAGAATGTTTTAATTTTATAGTTTTGTTATTTTAGGTAATGCAACAATTAAGTTTTTTGAGAACCTAATCCTACTATGACATTGGGATATAATAGAAATTAATAATCCAATGTCTTTTAATCTCTTAGAATAACCTCTGAAATGATGATATGAGCTAATAATATAACTCATGGATTTGAACCATCCATTATTTATAAATGTAATTTAATTTCTAAATATTGAGGATTTCTTGGTATTCTTTATTATTTTAATCCTTTAAATACATTGAGACTTGTTTAATTGTGTCTTAAAAAGAATTTATTTTGAAGTTGTTTGTGGTATTCTATAACTGTTAGATCAAGGTGGGTGATAGTGTTGTTCAGAATAATCAGTGTTTTTACTGGTTGCTATTTTGTTTTTTAGTTTTCTTAGCTACTGAGCAAAACATGTTAAAACCTCCAAATATGATTATGGAATTGCTTATTGCTCACTTATACTGTTAACATCTATGCATATTAATCATATAATTTGAACAGAAATCATCATTGATCAATGTAATTCTGCCTTCAAAAGATAGTATGTCTGCCTTTTAAATTCAATGCTCTACAGACTTCTTCTCCAGAAATATTGGACTCTTGGTCAAGCTTATGGGTGTATGACTTCAGAAAGCTGAAACTAATGATTTTGTACCATGTCTTGTTGTCTCCTTCACTTAATTTGTCTTAGGGACCATCTTATTTCAGTATATGTGTATCTGTAGTTGTTACCTTTGTTTTCCAAAGTTGAGCCACTTTGCATTCTCACCAACATAAAAGTGTGCCTGCTTTACCTCAACTTGTCTGTTATCAGAGGTTTTCAACATTGTCTATAGGATAAGTGGACAATGGTGTTTCCTTGTTTTAATTATTGACCTTAATTATTCCATTAAGGCATTATATTTTTTAAGCCATTCTGTGAAAGGACTTTCATTTTTTGCTGTTTTAGTTGATTGTTGATCATTAGATCGTAAATATGTTAGATCTTTGGTGTTTTTCTCCAGTTTGTTTTTACATCTGTGTATTTAGCAAATTCCTCATTGTTTCTAATTAAAACAATGTCATGTTCCTCAGATCTTGCTATGAATCTGTGCTGGCTATTATAAAAAATTGATTCTCCCTAATTAAAACAGACACATACAACATTGATATCATCATCCGTGATACTAACAAGAATATGCAACAAGCTTTTAAAACTGTTTTGTTTTGGTTTTATACATAAAGTAGGAGTTCTTTAAATGTTTCGAGGGCTATCAACATTGCAGAAATAATTGTATTATTTCAAGAGGAGATTGTTGTGAAAGCCACAATTGTGAATTTACATGGGTCTTGCTTCCATACTTCTTTTAAAGCAAAAAGTTTTGTCTTATTCTCATATCATTAAGTAAGTGTACCTTTATAGTTTGTTTTGTAGTTTACTTATATTCTAATTGTTGAGGATTATTTTAAGAAAATTCGTGATCTAAATACAATTGGAGAATACATGATTAAAAAGATTATAATCCTTTATCCCAGAGATGATTATTAGAGTATTTTGCCTTCTAGAATTTTCTGTCATGTATTATGAATTGTGTATGTGTGTGCAATTACATGTAAGCTTATGTATTTTTGTGTGTGGTTTTAATATTCTCTGTGTGATAACTCCCCCACCCCCCAACACACACATAGTGTTAATCTTATCACTTGGACTTTCTTTTAAGTTTGATATTCAGATAGCTATTCATTAACAGGATACCTATTTAGACAGGTATTATATCCTGGTTAGTCTGGAGCTCTTTGGCAATGAAGGATATGGTTTTCCGTTTCTTTTTTCTTTTTCTTTTTAATCAATCATTTCTTAAGAATGTAATTAACTAGGTCCTGATAAGAAAGAAAGTGCATTTGAATGGCTTTTATTCATGTTGTGTTAGGTAAATTGTCCCTGTTGGTAGCCTTTATATAATGACTCCATAGATGGAGTAAGAGGAAAAATCTTTGCATTTTTTTAAGTTTTACTACCTTTCAATTTTTACAGGGACAATACTCTCATTTGGTTTTACTGGCTGCATTTGATTGTATTGATGATACTAAGCTTGTGAAGCAGATAATCATCTCGGTAAGTAATTCTGATGGTCTTAGATTTAAGTTGCATTGATATACCAGTTGTGGGTATATAACTTTGATTTCACACGTGTAGTGTTAAACAGAGTTTTCACCTGTACTTCTGCCGGTATTTTTTTAGTTGTCTCAACTAAGTCTTATTTTGGAAATTTGCTCTTTTCCTATATGAATCATAATCTTGTAACTTGATATTAATACTGTTTAAAATATTTAAAAGACTGTGGTTAAGACTTGACTTTTGTTTTGGATTAGGGTAACAGGTTTTTTTTTTTGTTGTTGTATTTTAAGACTATATTAGAGATTAAAAAATGAAAAATCAACAAAGCAGTGCTTAGATTTGATCAGAAATTAGTTTTGGAGGTAATTTGTCAATTTAACACTCTCTTCCTATGGACGGACTGTCTCTACAATTATCCAGTTTACTAATACATCTGTTCTGGATTGATAGAGAAGAAAAATTCATAAAGCTCACTTAGTCTTGGTGCTTGTTAAAACTTTCATGGAAGCTTTTGTATAATCAGATTAAAAGTTAGGACTAAAATTAAAATATTAACTTCATTTTTACATTTCAGCAATTCCTCTAATCTGGCTTAATGACCATAAAGTGATTATGCTCAAGTACAGTTTATTAGCTCTAAACTTTAACATGCACATAAGAAAAACCAAACTGTTCTTTTCCAAAAGTAAAAGTTGAATTCTAAACTATTTTTATTCCTCTATTCTTTTTCTGACTTCTGCTTCTATGATCCTCTTGTATCTTCTTTTCCTTTATTTTTGGAATGCAGTTGATATTGAGTATATGGTATGATTGAGATGGGGATAAGAAATTACAACATTGGTAGCACTGACCAGACTTGGAAATGTTTTAAAAATAAAATAGTCTGTATAGACACAGGTTATTCATCTGAAAATTATACATACTTTTGTGTTTGGTACACATAAATGGGGATCTTGGAGAAATCCTGGGGACACATGGTACTCTTGGCAGAAGAGAAGAAGCACATGGATTATCTAGAGAGTTTACCTGTTGTCAGGTGGTGGTGCTGTGTCCTCTCTTAGTAGCCCATTTGCACCAGTAGAACTGGGTACAATAGAAAAAGTATATCAGCCACTGGAAAGGAAAGAGATTTTTTTTTTTTTTCTTAAATGCCAGCTCTAAGTCCCAGTGTGAATTTCTCATGCCCTTGCTGTCATTTTCCAACTTTGTCTTGACTATTTTAAGATGGTGATGACTTTCTTTGAGATAGGATTGTGGGAAGAAACAAATTGGCAAGACTTTCATGTCACAGACTGAGTATTTTGACATGTTCCTTGTGGCTTTATTACCCTTTTGACTCCAATCAATAATGATTGTTTTTCATTCCTGTGACAGAAATGTGAGGCCATAGAATTGGCTAATGAATAAAGTTGTTTCACAAAAATGGAAACAGGCTGGGCTATTGAAAGTTTGCTTTTGTTTAATATTTTTACCACAACTAAAATTTGCATATCTGTTCCAAATGGATTTCAGGAGAAACCAGACTTCCTTCAGAATTTCCCAGAATCACCTCTTTAATTTTTTTTTCCAAAGATTAATCTCAAAGTTGCTATTAAAACAGTTTCAATTCCTTGTGCTTATCAGTCCAATTCCCACAACTATTTAATCCACATTCTTGATGACTGTCCCTCTTAGGGCAGCTTTCCCTGCATGGCTCCACTGCTGACTCTTGCTTCTAACTGACAAAAGCTCAACAGGCTCTGTGTATCATTAAACTGTGTAGCTGGTGATAAAACTGGAATGCTAATTGCTCTTGCATTTCCCCACCCCACCAATCATCACAAAACTTGTTGCAGAAGGCAGTGCTTTTTAAAAATAACCAAGAAAGCCAAGTGTTGTTAAGCACTCTATTCAAAGTACTCAGACTTCAGAAATGTCAGGTTGAAATCACGGCCTGGTCAGATAGCCTTCCACTTTTCAAAATGGATACAAACTGATTCTTACCTGCTTTGCCTTCTGAAACATACATATTTATTAAAACTTGATCCACTTACCCTGAAGTCATTGGTATGACACACCTGGTGTTACAACAATATTCTGTGAAAAGGAAATAAGTACACTAGCCAGTTGCTGTTTAATGGCTGTAACTTAACTATTGTGAGTTTCATCAAGCTTTTTTTGTAAATGGCCAGATAGCGATTATTTTAGGCTTTATGGGTCTTATATGGTGTCTGTCTCATTTTCTTGTTTGATTTGGTTTTCCTTTTTAACAATCCTTTAAGGTGCAAAATCTAGTCTTTGCAGGATATACAGAAATAGGCTGCAAGGTGGATTTGAACAAGACCTGAATTTGCCCACCTTTGTCCTTGGTCATTTATTTTTCAATGCCAGGTAGTATTCTATCAATCATGGATATATGGGTAATTTTCTTTTTCTGGTGATAGATGTTTAGTTTTTTCTTTTTTATAAACTATTTTTAAATTCTTATTTATTTTTGCTAGTGCAGATAATTCCATTAATAATCATGTCTATTTTCTTGCATACGTTAAAAGTCTGTGAAGGCATTTACTTACCAGAATTGCTGAGTTGACAAATTTACTACAGATAGAGTGTTTTAGTATTTTCCACCCAGCCACTAAAAAAAATCACTATATATTGTATTGTACAGTGTTGTTAAAAATAGCCAAGAAAGCTTAGTGTTGCTAAGCATTCTAGTTAGAGTGTCTGGATTTACTGAAATGTCACATCAAAATCATAGTCTGATAATCAATCCTTGTTTTCTGTTAAGATTAGATATCAGTCTTTGATCTCACAGCCAGATCTGGTCTGCCCATCCTGTCAACTACTATTTTCTTTGGTTTTTCTACCTATTCACTTAGTAGTTAATTGTGATCTGACACAGGGCTCACAACAGGAAAAATGTCCATTGACTAAACTGGTAAATGAATAAGGCAGACCAAGTATAAGAAAGAAGGTAGAGGACTGAGCGATGAGGAGATCACCTGCCCTGTCCAAAGTGATGGCAACCACTCACCTAAGCCTCTGATAATGAGAGCTCTAAGGTGATAGACCTTCCCGATTTTGTTTTTGTTTTCTTTGTAATTAAGATAAAATACACATAACACAAATGTGCCATCTAAGCATTTTAAGGATACAGTCAAGTAGTATAGAATATACTCACATGGTCGTACAACCAGTCTCCGTGACTTTTTTGTGTTTCAGAACTGACTGAAACCCTATGCCCAATCACACAGGACCTGCTGTTTTTTTGGTTGTTTTTTGTCGTTGTTGTTTTGAGGGTAGCCAAACCATGAACTTTGATATAAAAACACGATTTTTTTGGTAACAAAACACTTAGACTGCCTGGTAATACAACCTTCTCAACACTTCAGCTGGTATTCATTATTTAAGTTTATTTTGAATTCTATTAACTTTTTTTGCTTCTGCTAGATTTTAGCTTCTTATGGATAATGTAGCTTGCATTTCTATTTGTCTCCACACAGAAACATATACCAACTTCTCCGTAATTTATGTCTTTTTGCATTTCTGTCCTTAACAGAAAATATGTGTATGCTCTAACTCTCCTTCCTGTGTGCATCTTTGATTTTGACCTTTACCCTTTCTCTTTAAAAGAGAATAGGCAAAACAAGAGTGCCAAGAAGTCTGGCAGGGGCCTAACACTTGGAGTTCAGACTGGCCAAAGGTGTCTTTGGGTAGAAATAGTTTTGGAACACGAGAAACTAGAACTTCAAGAAACAGGAGGGAGGTCTTTTGTTCTTTCCCGTGCTCTTTATTTTTTGAAGCATAAGAAAAATAAGTTACAAAAAATGGTCCTTGTTGTATTTTCTCTTAAGTTAACTCTTATAAAGCATAAGCTAAGCCAAAGTGAAAATCAAACTGTCATTGTTGTCATTTCTCTTTGAGAGTGAAAACCTTTGACTCCACTAGCTTTATTTAATCTCCATAGTTGGGGATGCTGTATATTCAGTGGTGTGTTTTAAATATGAAAATAATTCTTTTATAGCAGCTTGAATGGTGGGTTTTCTGTTTTGCTCATGGTAATAGCCCATGGGTCAGGGAGGTGGATCATTTCCTTTACAGATAAGGGAATTAATGGGCAGGGAGGTCAAAGGATTTGCCAAAGGCTTCCAACTTGACTTGAAGACTCCAGAGATCAAATTAAGCACACAATCAGCTATGCCGTAGCCATCTCTTACCTGTTTATCTGTGTTAAGGGTATTCTCCAGGCAATGATCTAGAAATCTCTGATTTGCAACACTCACATACTGTTTTCTTTGTATTTTTCAAATATGTATAATTTCAGAGGTAGGAAAAAGTATCATGAAGGCAAAATGGAGAATTAAATACTACATATTTAAGTAAATGTTTTGAGTTTCACAAAATTTTGTTATAAATATTACATATTTTCAAGATTTTAATTAAACATGAGTTTAAATTCTAAATTTCTTAATTATGAACCAAAAGGCAGTAAAGATCAGTGAATTCAGAGTCTAGTCCTTGAATATATTTTTGCGTGGATTTTATACGTTTCTTGAAGTCTAGCTTCTGTGTTCCAAAACTATTTCTGCCCAAGCCACATATATTAGGTCAGTCCAATAGTAACCATTATAGTTGTTTATTGTATATCCCCATGCTTTGTTTTGACACTTATGTCACCCAAGTTTTAAAGGTATTAACTCTAGAGGTTTCTGTTATTTTTAAAGGACAGCAAAGGGTTGTTGTTTTTGTTAAGACTGTGGAAATTGACCCAACCATTGTATCATTCTTAACCCCTATCTTGAAATGAATTAACAGATTAAAGAGCAGATTTTTAAAAGACGAGTCTCCTTGTCCGAGTTGATGGAAGTTTAAAACAGATACCTGAGGATATACTAGAGGTCCCCCCTACCCGCCCACATGGGGCATCGAATGCCATCATCAAAAACACATATAAAAAAGCTCCCTATTCTACAATAAGTTTGGAAATTTTTTTGGTTCATCTTCCCTTGCATTATGGAAATTTTAAGTTCATTTTCTCAGGGTGATTGAAATTATATATCCATTTTGAGGTGGTTAGATTTATTGAATCTATTCTGAAAACTTGTATGTTTTATGTAGGAATCATTATGATGTGACTTAAACTTCTTGAGAAGTAGTTAGGAGAGCTAAGTGAGGATTGGAGTCATGTTACACAGGCACTGTGGTGTGAATGTCATTTAACGTGATAGATGTACAGCTTTCAACAGTGTCTGGCTCCTAGTGGCACTTAACAAGTGTTAGCTACTATTACTAATTATCAGAAACATACTTTTATGCAAAAATATGAGGGAAGTTTGGGATTTTTTAAAAAAGGAACGCAGTACATGGAAATCTGGAGTTTCATCATCAACCCATGGAATCTTGACTTTTTCTGTATTGTGGCCTCATGGTTCATAACTCACTTGATTTAGTTTCCTTCTTGCACTAAAATTAGTAATTTTATCATAATAAACAGACATATTGGAAAAGAGCAGACCTGAATATGATTTTATAAATAAGTCCTCTTCAAAAAAGATTATACGATTTCTTTGAAGGAGACTAGATTTAGAGTCAGGGTACTAGGACTGATTAGGGCCCTAGTAATGATTCTACATGGCCTCTGGCAAGTCATATTTCTCCCTTCTGAGTGCCTCATCTGTAAACATGGCCAATGGAACTGAATTCTTCCTTTGGCCTCAGCCACTTCTAAGAATCTTTGGTACTGAGAAACGTGCATTTGCATATAAAGTTTATTACAAGAATGTTAAGGGTGGGGGAAAGCAGATGTTCTCTCTTTGTGTTTTCTCTATCAAGAATAAAGGAATTTTTAAACAGTGACTTTCTCTCTTTGAAAACATCAGCAGATTTGCGTAGGCCCTCAGTTGAGATGGGGCAACATTGCTTTTGTCACTTCGATTGCAGCCACTAGAAAAGGAAGTTCCTGTGCCTGTGTATATTGACTGAAAATACTGTACAGGGTAATTTGTAACTACTCAGTGGAGTCTTTCTGGATTTACTTTCCCTTCCCACTCTGTTCTTGTTTTTCACTATAATAATTAAATAACCTTCATTCACCATGAATGAGCAACCTAACTTTAAAGGCTTTTATCCATTTTTTTTTTTTTCTGTTTTACAGTTTTTGTATCTCCCTCATATAGTCTCAGCAGAGAAGTTCTGAGAAGGATGTTCTTCATTGAGGCTATGGTTAAGTGTAGCTACAAATTAACCATCTACTCAGTGACTCAAACAAGAACTGTCCCTAGGAATAGGCCTAAGAAATACTGGTCATAATGAATGAAGATAACTACTTTAAATATGTTTTTAAGTCCTTGGTCTTGGTCAGTTAATATAAATGGATTGTTTAGTGATACTACTCACAGTAGAGAATTGACTCTGTGCTCCAAATGTGAATCTCTTTGTGTTTTAATGTGACAGTTCAGAACTCACTCCACATTTTCCATTAAATACACGGGGAAATAGTCATATGTCTATTCTTCATTACCATTCAAATCTCAACCTTAATTTATAGATATACATAAAGGTTTTTTTTAATTTATAATTTTATAGGAAATTATCAGTTCCTTGCCAAACATAGTAAATGACAAATATGGAAGGAAGGTCCTTTTGTATTTACTGAGTCCAAGAGATCCTGCACATACAGTACCAGAAATCATTGAAGTTCTGCAAAAAGGAGATGGTAATGCACACAGGTAAAAATTAGTAGAATGCTTTGAGTCCTTCTTTCCTTTCTTTGACTGTTCATGAAATCAGAGTAGTCTATGCTTCCAGGTATATATAGTCACACATCCATACCCTATCTCTTACTCTATCTCTTAAAAAAACCCAAAAGGTGAATTTTGTTTTAATCCTGTAATTTTAACAGATTCTTAAAGTTCTTAACTTGACAAGGAAATAAAAGTGTCATGCCAAAAGAACACCTCTGAGCCCTGGCACATAGTGGGTATTCTGGTGCATGGTTTGTTTCTTGTTTTCTTTATTTTCAGAACTACTGTTACTCTGGTTTTGAGTACCCAAGGAAAGGAGTAGAGTCCATACAGTAGTCTTAAGCATGTGTTAGCTTATGGAATAATCCATTGTTGTCTGGGAGTTTGGGCTTTTGTTTGAGTGTTTTGTTGTTGTTGTATTGCATAAACTAAGCTTCCAGCCTCAAATCACCTGTTGTCTATATGCTCAGTAGAATTGTCAACAGTTACAATAGATTGTGACACAGACTATGATAATTGCCTAAGGATTTTGTGATAATAAGATTACTATTTCCTTTGCTAATTTTCTTACCATAATACTTCATTCAACATATTCCTATAGTAAGAAAGACACAGAGATCCGCCGTCGCGAGCTCTTAGAATCCATTTCTCCAGCTTTGTTAAGCTACCTGCAAGGACACGCCCAAGAGGTGGTGCTAGATAAGTCTGCATGTGTGTTGGTGTCCGATATTCTGGGATCTGCCACTGGAGATGTTCAGCCTGCCATGAATGCCATCGCCAGCTTGGCGGCAACAGAACTACATCCTGGTGGCAAGGACGGAGAGGTAATGTGCTATTGTAAGAGAGGCATGAAAGTTGCGGGGGCTATAAAAACTCAAGTCAGTTCATCACTACAAAGAGTTTTAACAACAATTAATCCTCACACTGACAGTACATTTGAAAATTGGGAATTCAAAACGACATGCCTTTACAGTACTTGTATTTCTTAGAAATGTATAATGATTCATGTTAGCTGCAGAATAAAAACAAAATCTTAGTATTCTAAGTGAAAACTGTGAAGGACAACTATAGGTTTTAGGGAATTTTGTAAGAGCCACCTACTCCAAGAAGGTTTTCTGAAGGTAGGGAAAGCTAAGCTGAAACCTGAAGCTCATCAAGAATTTGTAGAAAGAAGATTCCAGGCTGAGGGAGCACAAGTGCAGCAGTTTGAAAACAGGAAGGTGGGGTAGGTAATGGAAATTGTCAAGCAGAGGAAGAAGAAGGCAGAGGCCGGGACATACTGGGCCTATGTGTTGGGCTGGTTTATAAGCTCCCAAAGCTTCTAACATATTTATGGTAAACCTACTGTTTTGTGAGGCAGTGGCCTCTGCTGCCGCCTAGAGTTACAAATCCTTGATCTCAATCCTCACGGTGGCCTTCCATTATTATCCCTAGTATTACAGTTTTAAGATTTAAAAAAAAATAGATTACTTAAGTTCTTTGCCTTGAATAAATGCTTTAAAAGGTATTCAAAGATGAAATGACAGGGTCTTTGTCCTTAGAGCCTGGTGTCCATTGGTGAGACATATAAGCAAGGTGTTAAAGTAGTAAAAGTCAATTCTCATATTGAATTATGTTCAGGATGTGATGGGAACTAAATGTAACATCTGAATTTTAGTCTATGTCCAAGGACTTTTAACTAGTACTACGGGTAGTTGCTCTAGAAAGGAGTGTTTTGGCTTAAATGATAAGTTGCCTCTTGGTAGCAGTTAGATAGTTAATTACCGTAATAAAAGTAGTGCCTCACAATGCCAGATTCCACCTTCCTGACTCACTCTAACATCTTTGCAGCTATTCTTGCATTGCATTTGCTAGCATTCACAATCTTAGCCCAAGTCCACACATCAGGGTCCCAAGCAGGAAGGAAAGAGCAAGAGCAATGAGTCTTCCTCTTGGGTCTGGCAAGTTCCTAGTCTTTCTTGACATTTTATTGGCTAGAACTAGATCACATTCATTTGTGGGCCAATCTCTGGCAGAAACAGTTTGGATGAACAGAACTGCTTCAGACCAGTCAGGAGGTATCCCCTGAAAGTAAAAAGGGAGCTTTAAAGAAGGTGGGTGGCTGGGTGAGGTGTTAGCAGGAAAGAAAGCTGACAAGGGAGGTGCTGTTGAGTGAACAGTTGAGATCCTTTTCCATAGCAGCAGTTATATTGTATTCAGCTTTAATTCCCTCTAATCATCTAGACCAAAGCCTGGCATTTGGAAATGTTTTGTACCAATATGTATTTGGTTCTGAATGAAAATGATGCCATGTATTTAGTGTATGTCATACTTCTGATGCATAGAATTGGGAAGGAGAAGTGCAGCCCTGGCCTCTGCCCTCCTGAAGCAGTTCATATTACTAAGTGGGAATGAGCAGTGTGTAGCGGAAGTTTCTCTGTAAGGAGATTGTGCCATTGTTTCCCATACTTCATACGCAGAGCCCCCAGATGGAAATGATTGGTGTGGCCCTTTAAAAGGAGTCATGTTGAGCTAAAACAGTTTTTCTTGACCTGCTCAGATCATTGTAGTCACATGTATTTAAACACCATTCATCATTCAAAATTAGGTTTCAGTGTTTCTGCTGGGTATTCTGTTTCAGAGGTTTATTCTCACCTCAGAACTACGAATTGCCACTGGAAAGGTGATGAACATGAATTTAGATGAGTGTAGTAGTGGGTGGTGTGGTTTGGACTTGAATTCAGGAAGCCAAATGTGCCCTGCTCTGCAGGGGCTGCGTTCTTGCATAACTAAGTTCATTTCAGCCTATCTCTGGTGCCTCTAGCTATAAGAATATTCTAGATAAAGACTTCTTAAGCCTTGTGGAACTTGAAACTTGACTTTATCCTTACCTACATGTGGTTGTATAGGTTGAATCTTGGGCCAAGGTGTGGGTGAAAACAGATGTTTGAATTAGCCTCTTCTTGATCCCCTGTAGCTTCATGTTGCAGAACATCCTGCAGGACATCTAGTTCTGAAATGGTTAATAGAACAAGATAAAAAGATGAAAGAAAATGGAAAAGAAGGTAAGCCATGCAACTTGTCCTTTTCTTGCATCTTATGTGGAATTTCTATAATTCCTCACATCCCTGAACTTTACACTGGCCCAGTAAGTTCATATGAAGTTTGTCAAGTGTTTAGAAATGATGTCTGTGAATAAAAACTTGTGTCCGAGAATCCTGTAGTTTTTTTTTTTCCTCATTCCCACCCTCCCTCATGCTTTCTCTCTTCCCTCCTCTACTACTTTAGATTTTTAACCAGACTTGGTCATTGCCCTGAATGCCATTCTGTTCCTGGCAGATAGTATAGCATTACCCCCAATGAAAAGGCCTAGTTTTTAATCTCTAGTTTTGAGAAAAGAATAAGCTGAAGAATATTATCCTCATCAGAGAATTTTGGACAGCTGCCTGTTTATTTGGCATTGAATGTGTGTGACCAAAGGGCAAGCCAGTCCTTGGCACTTTTAAAATAAGCTTTAGAGCTGCTTTGTAGAAACTCGTCTATAAAGAGAACAGCATCTTTTATTTGAAATGTTGTATACTATTCCCCTCTTAGTCCTGTCTTTAACCTGACCTTTTTTACTGTATTCACATTCCATGTGGTATTTAAGCCACTTTTTCCCTACCAGATGAATAGTTTTGGCTATGAACTGTCTGAAAAAGGTGGTGTCGTGAATTAAGACGAAAATTACATTTCTCTAGCTATGAGGCGACTAGTATAGCAGTAGAGCTGCCACTTCTCACTCCCCCTATAAGAATAGGAATTTGAAGCTATCTTTCACTGCTTTTTTTTTTCCAATATGAAAATTTATAATCTTAAAAAAAGTGAAGTTCACTAAGTTTCAGTATATCTTTATAGGATGTTTTGCAAAAACACTGGTAGAACATGTTGGTATGAAGAACCTGAAGTCCTGGGCTAGTATAAATCGAGGTGCCATTATTCTTTCCAGGTAGGTATATCGTGTTTCTTCTGTGCTCAGGACCCAGTCATACAAAGGTACACTTCCTTCCCCTTTACCTCACAGCTCTAATACTTGTTCCTAGTAATCTGGCATTAGTCTTTACTAATTAGTCCATAGTCTAGACAAGTAGATCAAATATTAGAAAGCAAATGTTGCTTTTTCAGTTGTCCTTAGGATTTCTTTTACTGCCATCTTTTGGATATCAGAGATCATAAAATGATGACACTCACAAGGCATCATATGATGGTTTTGACCAAAACATAATTTATTTATTTATTTATATGTATATATATAAACTTTGTAAGTAATTTGTGTCCCTTAGGAAGCAGTGACAAACCTGTTGTTTTTTAAGTCATGCCTAACTTTACATGTAATTTTCTTTGTTTTTAGTGATTCTAAATGGATTAGGAAAGCATTTGTTTCTAAAATCTGCATGCTAATTTTTTTCTAATTTAAAATGAGAGAAAAATGATGATGCATGAATCTTGTGTATTATTCCCTGGATTTTGCTTAGTTTATAATTTACAGGTCATTGTTTTTCCAGGCTTTTTGTGCCCATATGAAACCCTCTGTTTAAAGCATTTGTTTTATAAGATTTGTGTGTTACTTTGAGGCAGTCACTGTTGATTTTTCCCCTGCTGTGCTGCCATGGTTTTGGAAAACAGATACTAATCCTAGATTGAATCTCCTACCATAATTCATTTGTACTCGCTTTGCAGTTTAACAATATTTTTTATAGATGTTAGGTTAAATGTTTCTTCAGTATATAATTTGATCTTGTGCACATATACTCTCAACACACACATTCATAAAAGCCTCCCTTTTTTTTTTTTTCTGGTTGATTAGTACCCCTAAGTACATGAGTGTTTCATGTAGATCATTTTGTTCATTTCTCATTAATGTTAGTTAATTTTCTAGTTGATGTTGAACGGTCAAAATTCACTACCTGAAACACGAACTTTTTGTTATTAATTTCTTTACCAGACATTTGGAAAGTTAACACCTACTGACACGTTCTTTCATTACTCTCAATTAAATAAAAATTTCATTGATACTATGAAATTAATTTATAAAGGTACTTATTAGCGCTCCTCTTGAGTAGATTTCAAACATAAGAATACTACAGGTTTATCATGGGGTACTATTTGGAACTAGTACAGGAAGACATGAAAGACTTGAGGTTCTAAACTGAAGTCGAACTATATGTAACTTAATTAATACAATTATTATTTTTGAATATTGCAGTATTTTATTTATTTGATAAAATTTCCTGCTTATTTATATTTTACTTAAAACTTGTGATTTGGAAATCTTGATGTGTTTCGTTGTTGTAGTTGTTTATTGATGTTTGTCTTTTTGGTGCTGTACCTTTTTATAGCAAATGAAAAAGACTTATTTTGAGTGGAAAGAGAGGATCAGCCTTGTATATTAGCAGAACAATAACTCAGAGAAGCTGAGCTTCCCATCATGTAAGAGCTTTGGCTCTAGATAGGCTGCCTGGCCTCCAGACCCAGATTATAGGTAGCCTTGGGGAAAATATTGAACTTTTTTGGTTTTTCTTAATTGAAAATGAGATTACTAATAATTCTAAAGCTGTTATGAAAACCATGCATATAAAATGCCTGTCATTATGTTTACTGTGTTAAATGTTATCTTGTATTAGTGGTGTACATTATGTAACTATTTAGCCAATATGTATAAAATTAAAACACCAAATGAGTCACAAATCCATTAAAAGGGTACTTCACTTTTCATCATTTTCAATTTTTCAGATGGCAAGTAGATTGCTTGTCTCCCACCAGCAGTGGAATGCTGCTTAATGCTATTAACTGGCCCTCCTCTTTGCTGACATGATGAAAGTTATTGGGTTCTGGGACTTTTGAAAATACCAAGTAATTTCTTTCTAGACTATGTTTCAGAGGCTAGCATTTACATGTGGTCCTGAAGAAGCAGGGGAAGAACAGAAAACTTGGGCATGTGTTCTGTGGTGAGGTGCCTATAACTTGGCCCCAGTAAAAAGAATGGGCCTACTGCTACTAGTCTCCAAGCTCTATTCACTTTGGTGGCAGAGCACTTAAACAAGGTTTCAGATTATTTTATTGAGTGGATAACATTTATTGTTTGCTAAGTGCCAAGATAATTTGAGACTCAAAATAGAACCCTATAGGGGTTTGGAGTATAACACAGTGGTAGAGTGTGTGTACTGAGCATGTGCAAGACCCTGGGTTCTATTTCCACACCATAAAGAAACAACCAACTGAAAAGGATGGGTTCTGTTGTTAATCCCATTCCACAGATCAGGAAACTGAATCCTAGAGAATTTAAATATCATGCTTTTGGTTGTGTAGTTATAACATTTCACCCTCAGGCATTGAAACTCTTTCTCCTTAACTGCATGTTCTAGAGCTCAGTGAGAAGGCTCACTGTCTCTTACCTTTCATGACCCCACTTAGGCTTCCTGTATACCCATTCAATTGGGTTAATTAATCTACTCATCTTTTCTTGGCCATAAAATTAAAAAAAGGAAAGAAAACACAGGGACTCTGCTCTTGAGCTTATAATATAGATAGGAAAGAAAAGATAGAAGGCATGAGAATAATTTAAGGCAGGATATAATTAAATCCTGTGATAATCAGAGTCATTTAAGTCTTTGCTTGAATGACTCTACCTGCAAGATTATAAAACATTCTTATATGGTTTTAGAATATATAGACTACTGGCCCTATTCATCTGGTGAACAAAAAAAATTTAGAGTGTATATAGTTAGAAGATTCAACTCAACATTAGTGAAATATTTTATACTGTGGGTACTGGTAGTATTGCAAATTATCTAGGGGTGAAATGTAACTATTGTTAATTTTTTCTTCTGTCTTCAGTCTTCTGCAGAGTTCTGACCAAGAAGTTGCAAACAAAGTCAAAGCCGGGCTGAAAAGCCTGATTCCCACGTTGGAAAAAAACAAAAGTAAAAGCAAAGGAATAGAAACTCTACTTGAGAAACTGACTACGTAGGTGGAAAGAGTTAAAAACAACAACAACAATGGAATCATTTTTTCCCATTCTCTGTTCTGTTCTCAGCACAGAAAAGAATGGCAAGGGTCCACCTTTTTGTAATTTGGGAGCTCTGTACATTTGTTTGTTCTTTGTATAAGAATATGTTTATATAAAATTATTTCTAAAAATGGTCTTTATTTTTTAAATTGCAGTTCTCTCATTTTGAGTAGTAAGCAGATCACAATGTGTGGCAGTACTTAGAAAGTTTAGAAATCCTATGTGGTTATATGGTTGGACCAAATATGTATAAAGTGTGGTTGAATGAGTTGGTTCAGGGGAGAAGACACCTTCAATGAGCATGTACTTAGGCTTCCTGGAGCAGTTGAGACTTGAGAGGACCATTGGTGCCAAAGCAAACCAGAATATGGAAAAGAAGAGCCAAGGGTGTCTTTGGTGGGATCAGTTAGATGGGAATTAATGGTTTTGAACTGAAGTGTAGGAAGCCGTGGGGGACCCTTTAATGAGGGCATTCTAATTATTCTGTGGACTGAGTTCCATGTTAAGTTTCCTTTGAAAGCTACTTCAGTAAATTAAGCTCATTACAGGAAATGTGCTAGATGAATTAGAGGATCACAGTGGATAACAGTGTTAAGGTAAGGGTCACTGGGAATATTTCCCTGTCTCTGGATTTGGGTCTTATAAGTAAATAAGCTCCTTGTGATAAGACATTCTACCTTTGGATTGGCACTAAAATAGTCAAAAGTCTATACAGTAAAAGGCAAAAAGATACAAATTTGTTCTAGTGCAGAAGTCTGAGTGCAAATAGCATGTCTGAATGTTAATACTATAGTTGGCTCTGAACAGCAAAACTTACAAGGGCAGGTAGGTCAGTGGGGCTCATGTAGCCATGCTGCTTTCAGTACATGCCTTGATCCTGTCTCAAGTAGTCTGATAAAACAGGACACCCAGTCATGCCTGTCAACTGCAGTTTACACTGCTGGAGAAGTGAGTGCAGCTTTCCTGTCCAGACTGTGGGGTCCCAGTAGTGCTCCTAACATAAAGCTGCCTAGACTTCATTACCCTCTCTCCTGCCAGGGTTTATAAACCCTTCTCAAAGAACAGAAGAGCGGATACCTATAACTTTTCACACGAATTTCTTCCTGACTACCACCTTCTGAGTCTCAGGGTATGGGGTGGGGCAGCTGGGAGAATTGGGCATTGTGTGAGGAGCTGAATAGGGAGAAGGCTACATTACAGCTTGCCTTTTTCTAATACATTGTGATTTATGTTCATATAAAGGGCCCATTCAGAGGCTGGGGGCAGGGCTATTTTTTTTTCATCTTTGAAAGTAAAAATATAAAATAACAAATAATTTAAAAAGTACTTTTGTAAAACATAAAAAGTAGCCACCTCTTCCACCCCCTCCTCAATATCCCTGTCTTATCCTCTCCAGAATGATTTCTAGTTGTTATTAGCTGTGCCGTTTCTAAATATCGTATTTTTATAGTGTATATTTTTAATCTTTCAGTTTTAGATGTTGTCTTCTGGCTTCCTATGATAAAAAAATACAGATTAAGAACTTTACCACCACTAATCCTCCCCTTCCCTCTCACTTCCCAATAGAACTGCATCAGTCAGAAGATTTATGATATTACATCTACAAAAATTGTTAAATATTGAATCAAGCAGTGAACTTTCATTTCTTCTGCCATTTTATTTTTCCTAGAATAAATCATTGTCTCATTTGTTTTCATTTACATAATTTTTAATTTTTTTTTATAACCAGAATCGCTTAAACTTCCCTCATAGGCTCCATTAGCAACTACAGGATGGCCATTTTCCTCTCTTCTTTAGCCTAGTGAGATGCCCTTGTTTCTATTTCTTTCCATGTGGATTAGCCATCCTGTTCCATGTTTCCCAACTAGTGTCTCAAGTGGGTTATAAATGTGAGATTACTTGCCCAACTATACACCTGTTCCCTTGTTTTGTGCAGAAAAGCACTGGTGTGAACTAATCCTGGGGCTGCATTCCTTAAGTCAGTGATTGATTTAGGAAGGAGCTCAGCCAGTTAATTGGGAAAGAGATGGTGTTCCTGGGAAAGGTTTCTAAGACCCTAGCCCCATAGGAAGAGTCCCTTCAGTGCAACCAGTGCCTGAGCTGTTGCAACATCTTGCAACCGAGAGAAAAGAGAGCTAGAAACAGAGCAAGAGCTAGAAATAATCTAGAACTTTGATATTTAACTACTACATAAATCAACTGAAGCTGTGCTAGACGAAGATCTGGTTATATAAGAAAATAGACCCCCATTTTTCACCTAGGTAATTGTGAATTGGATCTTTAGAAACTTATGTCTAAAAGCATGCGATCTAACTGAATACTACATGTCAGTCAATTAACATTTCCACTTCCTGTTGGAGACCTGTCCCCCGCCCTTGCCCCCAGCTTTCTGGATGTCCTAAAGAATGGGCTGTATGTCTAGCAGCATCTTCCCGCTCCTTGCCTTCATTTTCTCTGGTTTGTTTGATGCCATGCATTTTTCTTTCTTGCTCAATACATTTAATTGAATGGTCACAGGTTCTTACACATTCCAAATGCAGAAATACATGTGAGGTAACATTGTAAAGCCCTTCCAAGTCTAAAGGTGTATTCTACTCTTTCATACCCAGATACCTAGTTTAGCTGGGTATAGAATTCTAGCTTTAAATTATTTTTTTTTTAATAATTTGAAGCATTGGGTTTTTTGTGTGTGCAAATCTGCACACAGAATGTGCAGAAATGCAGTACCATGTTATCAGTTTCATATGTGGCCTTTTGGGGAGGGATAGACTAATCTTGAAATTTACACTATTATTTTAAAAATCATCAGCCTTCTTATATTTCAAGATTGTGTGGTATGTCATGTATGTCTGCTTTTCATTCTTCATGCTGGGCCCTTGGTAAACTATTTTTAATTAGAAAAGCCAAGCACTTCTATCCTGGGAAATGATTTTATATTGTTTCTTGGATTTTTCATACCTTTTCTCCCCAGTTTTCATTTGTCTTTGTTTCAGGAGTTCCTGTATTTGGATCTTGAATGGTGGTCTGAAGCTCCAATTTTCCTCCTTTACTCCTATTTTTTTATTTCTTTGTTTTTTTTTTGTTTTGCTTTCTGGGTGCGGTGTTTATTTCTTCCCCTTTGTCTGCCAGCCCTTCCAGTAAAATGTCTTGTTTCTTGGATGTAGTCAGTATCTTTATGTCTCTGGGAATGTCATATTTTCTGATTGTTTTGTTTTACTTTGCTTTGCCCCTTTTCTGTTGTCTGCTCTTTTCTTTTTTCTTTTTTTGTCTTGGTGTTTGAGGCTTTGCGGGAGAGGTTTCTGGCTCTCCTTGTATGTTGTAGACACTTGAAACTGATGGGAAGGAGGCAGGCTTTTCTTGTTCTCTGCTGTAGGCTGTACTGTGTGGGTTTCTAGCTGTGGATCCTGCTGTTTTGCTGTAGTCCTCTAGATGTCAGTATTTGTACCCTCCTGAGAGCAGACCACCTGCAGCCCATGTTCCAGTTGCTTGGCACTCAAGTGTGCAAGTTTTAATGAATCAAGTTGCTTCCATTATAGTTTATAGTTTCTCTTACATTGTCTCATACGTGGAGTCCTCTTGTCTTGTGCAGTTGGACCAGCATAATTCCCCAAAATATGCTACCAGATTCTGTCAGTGTGGAGGGTCAAAGTTTGGACCAGCCCCCCAGATTCCTCCACCAGGATATGGCACATCTTGTACCTGGGATTCCGGGTGCATCGTCCTGAGAATTGACTTGCTTCTCTGCATGCACTGGTTATTCAGCTTTCCATTCTGCCACTTTCCCCAGTGCTTCCTGTTCTTCCAGATAACTGTTGCCATTGCTCACCTACTGATAGCTTCTTTCCTGTTTACTTTGTTCCTGTGAGTTTATATCATTTTAATTTTTTTAGTTATGTCTGATTCTTTCTGGAAGGAACAAATAAATTTAACAATATTCCATTTTTAAGCAACCGTCTAAAAATGACTTTTAACAAACTAAAAACAATAGAACTGGTTTGTTTGGGGGGCTTGTTTTCCAAGGAAGAGCTTATTGGATTTGAAATATTCTTAATTTGAAAACAGTTTATTATAGTCTTCACTTTGCATCAACTCCACTCTTTTTTTCCAAGGGTCAGATGTCTACAAGGAACGAAGGAAGGGAGATCCGTTTTCCTGTAGGTCTGACATAATAAACATTCACATATTGGAATAAGGACCCCTTGGAGGATATGATCCAAACTCAAAGGATTGGTGCTTTAAAATAGGAGATGGCACTTCTGTTTTTGTTCTCAGGGCAGTTTTGAAAAGTTATATCTTAATTTAGCAGATGAGTAAGCCTTATAAGGATTAGGAGGTGTGTGTATTTGGAATAATGGTTAAGAGAACACAAGCTCTCAGAGCTGCTGCGCTTAGAAGAGAGCCAGTTAACAAAAGCTATTTCTAGACCAAAACTAATGAACTAAACAAACATAAAATACTACCACTTAAGCTCTTGTCGCCTCTCATATTGCTTAACTTAAGGAAACAAGCTTAAAATTATCTTCATTTTTTTCTAAATTTGAAACACCACCGAGGTACCCCAAATCTCCAAACTTTATTCTCTGATTTTTAAGATTTTCAGATGAACAGGGTCAAACAGGAGGTGCAGTGTGCTCTTTGACTTACCTGTCTTTTGTGAATAGTAACTAGATGGCTGCTCTGCATTCCAAAATGTGCAGACACTGCTGTGTACATGTTCTCAAAATGGTGCCTTGGAATACAATGCTAATGCCTCTCCTTCTGTCCCTATAAAAGAATGGTGTTTGGAGTCTTTCATAAAAATGAAAATGTTTCATTCATTTATAAAAATGTTTAATCCAATTGTAAGCTTGGACCGTGCCTTTGCTGAATGGAAATGGACAGATAGAGCTGCAGAATGTGGGAAGGAGGAATTTTGGCCCAAGCTTCCCTGTTTTTAGGGAGTTAATCATAACTTGGTAGGAAATGATTAGCTCTTAGTAGTGCCTGATACGTGACAACTACTTGAATGGAAGGTGATAGGAGTCTGGTGAGGTCATAAGAATCATCTGACTTTGTGCTCTTGATGACTATAATTAAGCATAATGAGTATTTAAAAATTTAAATGACTTCCAGATGCTTGAAAACAGACTTTCCTTTTAGATAGAAATTC